ATGCAATGTGAATTCTAAAAACATTAATTTTAAATAGACAATTTAAGTAACTAAGCTAGAAAAATAACTGAACATTAAAAGCTGCACAACTGGAATCTTGCGAAAAGCAAGAGGTGATCTCTCACAACTTGTATTTTATACCACAGAAATGACATTTTCACCAGTAATAACAGCCCCTAGAAGCATGCCAGGGCTTTCCTTCTCTGACATCCAGTGAACAGTGCCACCTATCGAATAACGAACAGTATTTCCAGAAATCATCGTATTATTCCGAAAACACGGCATAGACGTTCTCCCCCTCCCTTCAAGCCAAGCATTCAGTTCACTTTTTTTTTTCCACAGTTTCTTGACAGAAAGCAGTTTTGCTGCTAACATTGTTACAGAATCGATGGCCAAAATACTACTTTGTTATAGAAACAAGGCTCCCAATCCACAGTGTGTAAGTCTTGTGATTTTTAGACATTCCCACACCAAATAAGAAAAATTTTATTTAATTATGTATGTGGCATAATTGAATTACATAAGGAAGGAGATACCACACTGTTTTGTCCAAACTTCTCTAGTGATAACTGTATTTTCCAGAAATAAGATTAGAGGGTATCAAGGACACCAAAAAAAAAGAGCAGTATTTTCTGAAGTCTGTTCTTTGTTCACACAAAAGAAGTGCACATTTTCTGTATATTTTACTTTACTGTTAGAAGGAAAAACATACTTTCATTCAGAGTTGAATACTTCTTTATTTATGCTGGCAACCAAAGTATTTCACGGAGGACCTAATACACAAATATGTGATCTCTATATGCTGTGATTTCAGGGTCATGCTACAGAGCAGCAGCTGCTAAGATGACACAGTATGTCCCCCTGAAGAAGCCTTACCAGGTGCTGCATAGCACACAGCAATGCTAGGCTGGCCATCAGTTACACACTGGTACATACACAATCTAGCCATGGAAAAAAACATGTGGTATGTTTCAAGAGTCTGTGTGTAATGTGATACCAAACAATACTGCTATAACGCAACTGAGACTTGGAACTGACCCATTTATATACAAAATATTTGAATGAGTCAGCAGCCCACTGTATTTCCCAGGCCTGCTGTAGACTATCATACAGTTCCCAGACGCACTTCCTCAGATTGTGTTTGTCTCATGGACAAGGTCAGTAGTGACAAGAAGTGATATAAAGGTCAATGACTAGGAAAAGATTACAATATGCAGGCTTATTTTATCTGTTTACCCATTAACCTATTCAATATATTGAAGTTGTGCAGAATTCCTATATTTACTTGCCTTCTATCTTTTAACTGTTTAGTATAACAGAGCAGCGTATTAAGATGAAATTCTAATATTGTTTTGGTACTGCGAACAGATAAGAGCCAAATATGCTGCCTTACTGTAGTCACACACACATGTGAACAGCCTCTAAAGCAAACACTGTCTCCTTGTCTGAAGCCTTTTTCCCCATGCTCCATAAATACTCCATAACGGCTGTGCAGTTCAAGCACTGCCAGCATAAAGGTTGCATAAGTAGATAGTGGCTGAAGTTTTTGCAAATGCACAGCAGCAGTGCTATCTGTAATTGAGATTATGCCACTGTGGTTATGCTGCTATCTGAACCACAAAGCTTTTGGTTTGCACTGGAGATCCGTTTTTCAGGGTAATAAAAGATAACAGGAACAGTATTTGTCCTAACACTGATTACTGCAGAAGGTAAACCTACTGCTAAATAAAGACCTCCACAAGCCAAAGGTAGACTACATGGATTTTTGGTCTGGCATAACAAATTCATATTTATGTTTTTAAGACTACATGAAAAACACTAAAATCAGATACACACAAGAAAGATTTCTACAATGCACAGACATGAAAAAATTACTATTTTTCTTTCAATGTACTGATAATAAAGAAATATTATCACCTAAGGAAATGTGTAAAAATTCTTGATCCTTTTCCTTGTAGAATATTTAAAAAAAAAAAAAAAAATCATCAGATTGGGGAGGGCAAGTGTCAGGAGGTCTCTAATCCAACCTCTTGCTCAAAGCAGGGTCTGCTGTGAGATCAGACCAAATGCCTTATGGCTTTGTACAGATAGGTCTGCAAACTTTACAGGGATGGCAATTTCACAGTCTCTCCATGCAACCTGCTTCCCATTCTTAAATACCCTCAGAGGCATTTTCTTTTTCTTTAAATCCAGTTGGAACCTCCGCCTTTCAGTTTATGAATATTGTCTCTTGTTCTCCCACCATGTAACTCACTAAAGATACTATAGCTCTGTCTTCCGTGTAATGCAATCCTTGTTATTGGAAAGCTAGTTAGGTCTGTGTGAGTCATCTTTTCTCTAGGTTAAATGAATCAAGTCATCTCAGCCTCAGTGGCCCTCTGCTGAACTTACTCAGGTGTGTTAACACCTTTCTTTACTGGGGAGCCCAAAACCGGCTGCAATGATCTAGACACAGTCAATGAGTACCAGGTAAAGGGGACTAACTACTTCCCTTCATCTACTGGCTATGCTTATTGAGATACAGCCAAGTACACTGTTAACCTTTGCCACTGTAGGCTATGCTGTTCATGTGTAGGGCTCATGCGTAGTCTAACATCCACAATGATGCCAGGTCCTTTTCAGCAGGGCTGCTCTCTGGCCAGCCAGGCTCCACCTTGTACTGTTAGAGGGAGTTATTCCTCTCTAACGCACAACTCTGCATTTGTGCTTGACAAATTTCATACAGTTCCTCTTCAGTCAGTCCCCTCTTCCAACCTAACACTCAGTGAGTGGCAGCCCTGTCACCCAGCTTTCAGAGCAGGCCTAGTCATTTCATCAGAGACGACCATCAGGTTATTCAACCATGACTTATCCTTGGAAAAGTCATGTTCACTATTCCCAATCACTACACCTTCTTCATCTGCACACCTCTTTTATGTCAATTGCCTATACTGATGCCTCTCGCAAACATAAAAAAACACTTGCGGTTTCCTAGCAAAAAGCCAGGTTCATCAGGTTACCCATGCCAGCTGTCATCTCACCTCAGTCTCTTGTATACTACTGTGAGTTTGCCTTCTCCACACAGCACATTCTAAGGAGAAACAAAAGCTTTCTCATCTCAAAGCAGAAAAATACTAAATGAAGATGTTAAAATATTAAAAATATGCATATATATGTCCAGGTTTTAACCACTGCTACCAGCTCAGTAATGCAGTAATGTTCTTCTGAGTCTTCAGCCGTTTAATTCTTGACTTCACCTGAGCAAGGCAAACCTTTTGGGTCAAGGCAATCCCAGGCCCAGCTGCAGGTTGGACAGAGAAGTGATGCAGAGCAGCCTGAGGAGAAGGCCTTGGGGGTGTTGGTCAATGAGAAACTGAGCATGACCTGTCAATGTGAGCTCACAGCCCAGAAAGCCAACCGTATCCTGGGCTGCATCAAAAGAAGCATGACCAGCAGGTCAAAGGAGATGATCCTGCCCCTCTACTCTGTTCTTGTGAGACCTCACTTGGAGCACTGTGTGAAGTTCTGCTGTCCTCAACATAAGAAGGACATGGAGCTGTTGAAGCAAGTCCAGATGAGGATGATAAGGAGGCTGGAGCAACTCCTGTGTGAAGACAGGCTGAGGAAGTTGGGGCTGTTCAGCCTGGAGAAGAGAAGGCTGCGTGGAGACCTCATAGCAGCCTTCCAGTATCTGAAGGGGGCCTACAAGGATGCCAGAGAGAAACTCTTCATCAGGGATTATAGTGATAGGACAAGGGGTAATGGGTATAAACTGAAACAGGGGAGTTCAGGTGAGATATAAGGAAGACATTCTTCACTGTGAGGATGCTGAGGCACTGGAACAGGTTGCCCAGAGAAGTGGTAAATGCTCCATCCCTGGCAGTGTTCAAGGCCAGGTTGCACAGAGCCTTGGGTGACATGGTCTAGTGTGAGGAGTCCCTGCCCATGGCAGAGGGGCTTGAAGTAGATGATCTTAAGGTCCTTTCCAACCCAAACGAGTCTACAATTCTATGATTTCTTTCCTGTACTCTTAAGAGGATCTGTGCGAGATCCAACATAAAAATAAATACCAACACTGGCTTTCAGGTCAAACAAATGACAACTGTATCATCTTAGGACTCTCCTTCTGAATTCATCTGTTTTTCTAATGTTTTACGTATTTTCTCTCTAATTCTCTTCTAGCTCTTTCAGCACAGATCAAACTGCTTATTTACAATGTATATGTAAAAATTAGTAAAAAGTTTACTGAAGTCCTTGAGGTTGCCCTGTCACAAGTTTTTAGTTAAATTCCTTATCACAACTTAAGAGCAATGTAAAAATTATACTCGCTGAAAGAGAAAATAATAGAATATATTACTTGAGAGAGGCACGTCAGTTTTGTTTTGTCAGTCCTGGCTCTATGACTTAGAAATAAATATAATTTCTGCCTACTAGGTTAACAATAGGATGCTTTTGGATTTAAAATTGCCTTTTCCCTACCCACTTTCATGCCAAGTAGTAATAAGGATGAGATGTGATATACTTGTTCTAAAATGGTAATGATTTTTACTACCATTTCACTTCCATGCTCCTATTTTAAAGGCCCTTGCATCTACGAAATTCATGTATTAAATGAAATGTAAGTTACAAAAATACACTAAATCAATTTAGCAAAACTAAATCACACAATAACTTAGTGTCTACAACATTGCCACCAGACCAGCTCCTTCAAAGAACACTGAATCATATAAGCCATTAAAAAAAAAAAATCCTTTTAGCATGTATTTATTTATGATTGTTTATGCTATCCCCCACTGGGGAGGAAGAGAGGAAAATAATTTTTTTCACTTTGAAAAACACTATGTTAATGGGAAACATGCATTACAACTGAAAATATGTTTCCCAGATTGGCAAAAATTGAGACTTTTGCTTGTATATTTCCTTGGGGATTCCTCCCCAGAGAAGGTTGCAGAATTCAACTGTATAAACTTCAAAGTTTCCAAACTGAGGGGAAAAAAATACAACAAAAATAGGAGACTTACACGATTTCTCTCTAGGGATTTCAGCTGAAGATCTATTTCTTTCAGACGATTTTGTTGATCACGTTGTTCCTTATTGTCTCGCAGAACCTTTTCACCTGGTACTGCTTCTAGGCTTCTGTTTCCATAAACCAGAGACTCCTGACAAAAGGAAAAATAGGCAGAAGTCAAACATATGACTTCATATTGCTTCAAATCCAGATAAGTGTTCTTTTCATTTCTATTAGGAAATCATTCAAATGTTTAGAATAATGTGTCAATTTCAAATTTGGCAAACGCATAATGTTATTACACACATTTTCAAATGCAATAGCTAAAAAACAGGCTGTACTTATTTCAATAGAAGTATTCTTCACCTTCATGTTTTGAGAGGAATTTCTTGATGCTTAAATTCTGCAACAATAAAAATGCACTGAGACTAGGGGAGACTGAATGAGGGGTTCAAAACTTGCTCCCACTAACCATACTGGGATCAGAATTAGGCCAGAAGGGAAAGGAAGAACTGAAGTGACTGTAGGGTTTGTTTACTAGTATCATGGTAAATGAGAAATAAATCTCTCTTTGGGTTGGAGTTAAATGCACAACCTTTATTAAAGATTTTGGTTACACATTCTCACATCCTTCAGTAGCTCTGGATAGGAACCTGAAGTTTCTATCGGTCCTGAACACATTCAAGGTTCAACATTACATGTAATTTAGATCATTAAGAAAGACAAGTATTGGCAAAACAGAAAAGTTACATTGTAATTTGAAAAAAAACCAGGGCATTCTCTTGCAAACCAAAGATCCTATAGAAGAATCCAAGGAATCCAAATAGTGGTAGAGGATTAAAAAAAACAAAAAAACAAAAAACCACCCCAAACCGTTAGCCAATTCAACCCAAAGGAACACAAGCAACCACTTAATGAAAACACTCTATTCATTCTTATTTTTAGAAGCAGCTCAAGCAATCTTAACAAACACACACAAGAATTTCAAGTAGCATGTCTAAGAGAAACAACCTCTGCAATTTAACATTCAACAGAAAATTTCTTAACTACAATATATAAAAAACATCGAGCATCTGTAAACTTTTTCTAAACATGAAAAGAATCCATGAGTTCTGACATTTAAACCAAACTAGTAGTAGCCTGAAAATAGACTCACTTTAACATGGCACAAATCTTTGAATATCTACAATAAGCAATAGTTGGCAATACCACAATGCCACTAAATTTTCCTGTAACAGAAATATAAACAGCACCATCTGTTAATGGCTAGAATCTCTCCAAACTGGGCTGAAGTTTAACGTGGGACACCTAAAGCCAAATTCTTGATATTGAGTGTCTAAAGCTAGGCTTCTAAATACAGAGAGAGGGGTTTTTAATTAAATGTGATGCCCAATGGCAAGAAATCTGCATGACTGACATCTATACAGAACATGAAAAACCAAAGGACTTAAAACTTGTTTATTAATACATGAAAAAAGGATACCATCTTTATATCTACAATATAAATACAGAGTTGGCAAGGCAGCTCAAAGCATAACTGAAGCTCCAATATGAGGAATTGCTTTTATATGGCTTTGTTCTTCCAGCGATTTTAATACAAATGAAATTGTTCACGGAAAGGTGGGAAGGAAGATGGTGGCATCGTATTTCTTTTTTTTTTTTTTTAAAGTTATAGCTATTTCTGCAATTACATTTCTAAATCCAATCTTTTGATCTTTGCATATATAGATATATTACCATGTGAGCAGCTAGTGCTCAGCATGGATGAGAGCTGTAGTTTTGATTAGTTTTAAAAATCAATGTTATGAATATGCTGCTATAAGAATATGCTGCTATAAGAATATGCTGCAACTCATGGTACTGAGAAGTCACTAAATGCTATATTATACTTCCTGGTGTTTTACTTTGGGGCTTGTATGCATGGACTACTGGTTGGTATTTTTCTACGAAGTCAGCCTTCAAAGAACAGCTCAAACTGCAAACAGCATCTCTGAAAATAATATTGCTGCAGTACCAGCTGGATTTAAAAGGTGACAGTGAGAGGAGTCGAAGTCAAAAAGAGTTACTACTTTCCATTTACGTTTTTGAAGTAAAGCTGTATGCAGATCTCTGTCTTTCAAATATTTTCAGGCATACATGTTTCATTTTGCCAACAGCACAGCTTCTGCCAGCACTTATGAGTAACACTTGCAAACTGTAGGAAAACTGTGTATCCCGAGTTATTTTTCCTTTTATCACATTATCATTTTAAGCCTGTTTGCTTCTCTCGTAAGACATTAATGTTCTATCAAATAAAATTCTTAACTGGGATAAACACGACAACTTTATTCTCCATAAACTTCTTTTCAATATTGATCTCTGCCATACCACCTAAAGAATTCTTGTCAGAGAGTGTGGGATAAAACCTGGACTATGAGCATTTATGAGAAACCAGAAGTAAAAAGTACTTGTTTCAACATTTCTCCAACATCAATATCCACAACTGACATAATTCTAATTAGATGATATGGTAAAAAAAAAAAAAAAAGTTATTATTTATTCGCTCTCTCTTCTCTCTCTGATCAGAATGGTTTTGCACGCTCCAAGTACATTCCCTCCTACTCCTTTTTGTAGGAGGGAACTTACACTCTTTGTAAGTCAATATTCGCATAGAAGCCGTTCTACCCTTCTGAACATTCTGGCAACCAGTTTTCTATTGTTTTTTCTGTACTTGTTATGACAGACCACAACTGCACAACAGTCCACCTATATGGTGCACTATAGATGTGTACAGCGGCACACTGACATTTTCTGTTTCATTCTGTATTCGTTCCATGATTGTTCCTAATTATTTATTTGGTATCTGATCACTACAAAACATTAAGTTACTGCTTTCACTGCAGTAGTTCTTACAGTCTCATTTCTCTCAGCCATGAATAGTAACTGATCAGAACTCGCAACATATGAATAAAGTTGAAACTTTTCCCCAGTTACTAATTTTTTAATATTTTTCTCAAGATGTCATGAAATAAAACTGGAAGTATTATATCCCAGAAAAAAAATTATTCTCAGTGTTTCAGATGCTTCAAAACATTTTGTGTCTCAATTATACAGCATATGTACATAGGGGAATTCAGTTTGAGATTAAAGATCTAAATATCTTAAAAGATAAGGTAGAAAATAAACTGTTACACAAGGGAATACGTAAGTACTTAGCAACAGCCAAAGCTGTAACGATCACAGTGCAAACCAGAAATATCCAGTATTTGAAATGGCTAGATTTATTTGTTGCACTCCCTTTTCTCCAAAATTCTGATGTCTATTCTATAGACATTATTAATTCTATAAATGTTTATTGTATAGACATTTACAAGTCTATAAAAACAAAATCCCAGCTAATGAAAGGTATTAGTGTCATACAATCTTCTTGAGCCACAAAACTCCCTTATCAGCCTATTAACCTGCTTCTAACCATGCCCTGAAATAGATATCTATCAAAATTGTCTTTTTGGTCAAGTGCTGGCATAGAGTATAGGCTATCAAAGAGTTCACTAACTGAAACTTTAGTTTCAACTAGACTCATTCAAATATCTTCAGAATTTTTATTGTTTTGAGTATTTAAACTGCCAACTGTAGTCTACTGCTATAACTGAAAAATGAATATTTTTCTGATAAAAGAAACCCAATCAAGTATGAAAGAACTCAAAAGGGTAATATAGAACATTAATCATCTTTATAGACAATCAAACAGACAGATATTATTGGGTTTTTAAACACCACCTCCATTTCTTTTTATTTTCAGTTTGTCAAGCTGGTAACTGCTCATCACACAGTCTTACACTTAATATTCTTTATCCTACCATTTTCCTGTCTCTTCCAGGACTACATTCAACTTAATTTTTCGGGAAGAACAAATTAAGCAAGACAGAAGCATTTTTAAATATGTAATTAAGTTGGCACCAGAACAAAGAAATGTTTCAGAGAGAAATGCAGTTCTGATGAGAAACATTTCCATGTAAAAGAGAACATTAATCATGGAAAAGCATTCTGAATCCATCTGGGCTCGCTGCACAAAAAGACAAATCTGTATGCTTCTCTGTAACAGCTCAGTGATGGTACTGCAGGATAATTAAAGCCAGTTGTTAAAGATTTCAGAGTCAG